TATTCTAACATATCTGCACCAGTAGTGATACAGCTTTTAGTGATGTCTTATGATAAATAGAGCTTCAAAATTTAGTAGCTAGAAGAAAATGCTCTCTTTTATGGCTATGAATTTTTGCATGATTGATTAATGCTTTAACTGATATCAGTGATATGTTTTATAACAATAGAGGTCAATAATTAGATGTGCTCTTAAACGATCTACAAGCAAAACTTTTCTAACTTTTTCATAAATTATCAAACAACGAAATCTTTGTCTCATCCTAACTCCTTCTCTTTCTCTCTTACTTTTTGAGACAAACAATTTAAATTCAAATTTTTATTAATCTTCATTTTTTTTTTCTCCATCGAGTTAGCTACTCTGATGCAATGTGTTATAGTTTTTCATTGATAAATACGAACATGAAAGAATAATCTGAAAATAATGAAAATTTGTTGAATTAGGTTACAATGTCAATGTAGAGGAATGATTTATCTTTAATAAATGAGATCCATGAAGGTATATTATTGCTAATTAAGATAATTAATAAAGATAATAATCTCTAATGATTCAAATTTGCTATTACTCAATTGTTGTTCTGAAATTGAAAAGTTCTGAGGGAAAAAAGAAGAAATTGTTAAATTTAATAACCCGTTAATCTGACTTCCATAATTTACCAAATCCAGCTCCAGCAACAAAAAAGGATATGATCATCAGAGGCATAAATATGCACATTAGAGTAATTGCTGGAATTGACCAGCCATATTTACCTGTTTATTTCAAAAGGTGAAAAATGATTTTAAAAAAAAACTAAATGAAATGATTTTGAAATGATCTATTCAATGTATACAATAATAGTAGCAATTGATGTTAAATTTATAGACAAACTAAATTATTCAAATAATTCAGTGATGCATCATTGAGTGACCCAACTCTAATTAATCTGACCTACTATGATGGTCAGCAGTATTGTCTACTTTATAAATTAATGTATTCACCTGAATGTGTCTCTTTTTTATTGGCTACTTTTTGCGCTTTTTGTTCAACTGCAAATTGAATTCATTTAAGATATAAGCAAATATTTTTTTAACAATTTATTTGCATAGCATTAAAAGGATTCAATCATTGGGGTAAAATTAACTTTTAATATGAAATATAAATTAGATAAATTATCATATCATTCCTATCTTTGCTATTATCATTAGAAAATATACATTATCATTTGTGATATTTTAAGACATACAATACTGATATGATAAGAAGACTTTATATTAGAGGTGATAACAGCTATATTTGTTTATCTTATAAGAGAAATAGATTAATCTATTCAAATTCCTACCATTATTTTCCACCTTCTTTTCTTCAGGTGATAATGCAATATTTTCTGCCGGACCAATTGCTTCATATGAACTACCCATTTTTTTGTTTTTTTTCTTCTTCTTATCACTTCTAAAAAAACTTAAAAATTTTCATTTCCTTTTTTTTTTTGTTCGAAAAACTCAAAAGAATGTTTTCTGTAATTTTTATAGCTTTAAAAAATTTGAAAAGCAAAACAATTGGATGAATTTATTCTATTTCAAATTAGCAAATTAGTATTATCGATCCTTTTTCTTTGTTTCTTATTATTAAAGATATAAGTGAACTTATTATTATTATTATTATTATTATTATTATTATTATTATTATTATTATTATTATTATTATTATTATTATTATTATTATTATTATTATTATTATTATTATTATTATTATTATTATTATTATTATTATTATTATTATTATTATTATTATTATTATTATTATTATTATTATATTATTATTATTACTATTACCATTTGAATAATAATTATTGAAAAAATTCTTTTTTTTTTTTTGTTTTTTGATTGAATCAAAAGAATTAATTTCTAAATGTACATTTAAAATGGAAAAAGGAAATAATAAATGTTTGTTTTAGTTGAACCGAACTGGAAATAATATAAAAATGAAAATGTATTAATCTACAATAATTTATCCATTTTATATTTTTATTTAGCAATAAAAATTTGCTTTTTTTTATTATAAATATTCCATGGATATGAATATTATTCATAAATATTATACAGATTTGATGAGAAACTTTTTTGGAGTTTTCAATTTAATTTAATTTATTCTCATTTAATTTCATGCAGAAAAAAAAATAATTGTTTATTTAAAAAATTGAAATCATTTTTTTTTTTTAATTATTAAATATTGCATTCAGAGTGGGAAAGGCAAAAGTGAAAGTATCTAATGTAACTTTGACATTTTGCAAAAGTTTGAAGAAATTAATATCACTAATAAATTGTGCTACATTCTAATGAATTCGTATTTGTTTTTAAAAATTAGACAATTTAACTTTTAAAGTTAGTTTTAAAAAATTTTTAAAGTTAAACAATTTTACTAGGTTTAGCTATACTTGCTCATTTAATTTATGCTTTTTGCTAATTTTTTTTGTCCTTTTCGTCAAATTTAATTTCATTATTAGCTAAATATCCTAAAATCACTTGAAATTATCAGTTAAATTAAATTCAAAAAAAAAAACTAAACAATTTAAAATGTTTCCAAATATGTTTATGTTTCTTATTTCTTAATTCACACTATAAGATATTAAATTATTGAAGTATGTGTCACATGTCATATAAATTTTTGAAAATTAGTACCTGCATAGAATGGTTATACCTTCGAATGAGTACCTAATGAGTAGTATAAAAATTTAATTTTGAAGAGAAATTGAAATACAAAATTTGAAATATTGAAAAGTTTACTAATCAATAGCTTATAAAATAGTTGTTGCAACTTTCGGAGCAATTTTTTGTTTATTTTATTTTGCATAAAATGAAAATACATTTGAAATTGCATTTAGGGAAAAGTAAACAAAAAAAAAAAAAATCATAGAAGTAAATTCATTTGTTAACAAAGAGAATTCATTGAAATTTCATACTTCGATCAATTTGAGCATTTTGCACAGTAATGAGAAACAATTTAGTCTAATCTAAAGAAAATAATATTGTGTACAAATAAATTCCAGAGAGAGAGAGAGAGAGAGAGGGAGAGAGAAATTGGATCACAGATGTCGAGATCATCTCGAACATTTTGCACAGTAATGAGAAACAATTTAGTCTAAAGAAAATAATGCTGTGTACAAATAAATTCCAAAAGAGAGAGAGAGGGAGAGAGAGGGAAAGAGAGAGAGAGAGAGAGAGAGAGAGAGAAATTGGATCACAGATGTCGAGATCATCTCGAACATTTTGCACAGTAATGAGAAACAATTTAGTCTAAAGAAAATAATGCTGTATACAAATAAATTCCAGAAGAGAGAGAGAGAGAGAGGGATAGAGAGAGAAATTGGATCACAGATGTCGAGAGAGAGAGAAAGATATCGAGATCATCTCAAATCATAAATGAAATGTGTAATTAATTCCTGGAGAAGGGAAGTATGGAAAGATGTATTAATATGTGATTGATGATATCGAATCGGAAAAATGCCGGAATGAATTTAGTTATCTGAATAATATACATTCTTGTCCTGGATATTTTAGAAATTTAAAATGTCACTGAGAGGGAAATTTAATTTTGTAATGAAATTTGTACGATGATCATCTCATCAGTAGGATTCAATTTAATTTAATCAAATTTTTTTTTGCAATAATTTTATTTGAGTATTCGAGAATAAACTTATTTTTAATTACATTCCATAATTTAGTTATTTATTAACCAACTTTTATTGATAAAATAGCTAATAATAAATAAAAGAAAAATAATTAGTAAATAATTATGCTAATTTTACTTTAATATCTGGTAAATTTTTTCACTGCAATCTCTTTCAGATGAAAAATCTTCTAAAGTAACTGTCATTAAAGATTTTTAACTTTTTATCACAAAGATAAAATTTTGTTATCACTCTTCTTGCAAACAATTATCATTTCATTTCATAATTTTATCATAACTATGTTGAAAATGAAACAAAATTTAATTCATTTTAATGCAATTTTTAAGTGAAACTAAGTAACTCTGAGAATGAAATGAATTTTTAAATTTAAGAAATAAAAATAAGAAGAAATGACATAGTTGAAATGAATAAAAACTGCTATAGACTGATAACAATATGATAAGAAGCTCTTATATTAACTAAAAATACTGATATTATCAGTGCAGTAGTAAATTGGAAATTAATCATTTTTTTCTTTTTTTTGTGTCACCAAAGATTGTTTAATAATAGAAAATATTTGTAGCAAAAAAAAAAAATAAATAAATAAATAAATCTGAGAAATTTCGAATTCATTTTAATTCATTGAATTTCTTGTTTCAAACGAAATAGGAATTTCAAATTAAATAATTAACTAAATGATATTTTTATCATTTTTTTTTTTTTTGAAAATTTATTTGAAAATGTAATTTCAAAATTAAAAGAATTTTTTGGTAAAATAAAAGTATGTTACTAAATTGTTAGAATTGCTTAATAAAATGATAAATGATAAATTGCTTTCCTTATTTATAAAATAACAACAAAAAAAAAAATACTGAAAAAACTTTTCATCAAAAAATTTTCAATTTCTTTTTAGCTTTCTTTTTTTGATGAAAAAAAAAAAACTTTAAAGGAAGAAGGAGAGAAAGGGAGAGAGAGAGAGAGAGAGAGAAGAAAGGGAATGAATAGAAATTTATAATGTAAAATTCAATAGATGGAAATAGTATTGAAATCGAGAAGTCGAGAAAATAATTAATCGGATTTGAGAAAGTGAAACTTGCATTGTTTTAGTATAATAAATAATATTATCATTCTTTCTTAAAAAGAAACATTTTTCAAAATTATAAACATAAACAGGCCGAGATAGGCCGATGTAAAGAGGAATAGGAAAGGGCGCGGGTCAACTACCCTGCGGGCAACTTACTACCTTACTCCCCTCTTCGTCCACACTATCCAACCCCGTCGAAATAGTTCCACGGTCAGTATCGGATTGACACTAAAGTCTTCATATAAAGAGAGCTATCCGCAAAGAGACATTATGAAGCAGCTGAGATATCACTGTCAACCTATTCGCTCCTTTATGGCAAAATTATCACTCTCGAATTGTTTACTTTTAGTTCTACTAGTATTGGTAGTAGTACTTACTGATCGGATTAATGCTATTCCAATTGATAATGGTGTTGAAGGTGAACCTGAAATTGAATGTGGTCCAACATCAGTTACTGTTAATTTCAATACAAGGAATTCATTTGAAGGTTTACTTTTTAATTCAAACAATTTGTTTTATAATTCAAAATTTTTTATTGCTAAAAAAATTTATTTGCAATTTTAAATCAATAAAAATTGCTAAAAAAAAAAAAAATAGTTAATCAATTGCTTAATGCTTTCATTTTTCTATTTTTAAAATAGTATTACATTTTTTTATAGCTCTCATTTCTTACTTATCTCTTTTCCTTGATCAAACAGATCAAATTTAGATACAATTTCATTTTCAAACGAAGTTATTCATCATGAGCTATTTATTTGTTGATCTAAAAGTCATAAAATAATTTTAAAAATTGTTTTGAATGTTTTCAATGCTGATTTATCAAATAATTAAACAAAAATAACAAAATAATCAGCTCATTGCGCTTCTATTCAATGATATTAAAACATTTTTAAACAATTTTAATGAGCATCGGATAAGATTTGCTAATTTCTTTGGTTCATTTTGGATTTAAATGAGCAGATTTCATCGAAATTTAAATTCGTGAATTTACAAAGATATTGAATGATTAATAATAATGATATGCATGATTTTGAAAATTTTTGATGATTTTATTTCACATTTTATTTTTTACTTGAACTTGATTTGACTTCATACTATTTAAGATGACAAAGTGGAAATTCATACTATTTAAGATGACAAAGTGGAAATTCATACTATTTAAGATGACAAAGTGGAAATTCATACTATTTAAGATGACAAAGTGGAAATTCATACTATTTAAGATGACAAAGTGGAAATTCATACTATTTAAGATGACAAAGTGGAAATTCATACTATTTAAGATGACAAAGTGGAAATTCATACTATTTAAGATGACAAAGTGGAAATTCATACTATTTAAGATGACAAAGTGGAAATTCATACTATTTAAGATGACAAAGTGGAAATTCAAATTATTTAAGATGACAAAGTGGAAATTCATACTATTTAAGATGACAAAGTGGAAATTCATACTATTTAAGATGACAAAGTGGAAATTCAAATTATTTAAGATGACAAAGTAGAAATTCATACTATTTAAGATGACAAAGTGGAAATTCATACTATTTAAGATGACAAAATGGAAATTGTTAATACTTAATCACATTCTTTATTATTTTTATTTATTCCATTCTTATTTAAAATTTTGTTCTTTTTTTCTGTTCATAAAGATAATTTAAAAATGTTTTTTTTAATAACTATACACAACAACAGCAAATGATTCAAATAATATTATTCAGGACACGTTTACGTGAAAGGTTTATATGATGAGCAAGACTGTCGATCAGATGCAGGTGGTCGTCAGGTAGCAGGAATTGAACTTTTATTTGATACATGTAATGTGGTACGGACAAGATCGTTAAATCCACGTGGTATCTTTGTGACAACCACTGTTGTCATCTCATTTCATCCATTATTTATTACTAAAATTGATCGTGCTTATCGCATTCAATGCTTTTATATGGAAGCTGATAAAACAGTGAGCACTCAAATTGAAGTTTCTGAAATGACAACTGCTTTCCAGACTCAAGTGGTACCAATGCCAATTTGTCGTTATGAGGTAGGTCATTTATTGATTTCTTCCTTCATCAATCATCCAATCATAATCATAATTGTAATCATAAAGAGGTCAAATCAGAAAGAAGAAAGAACAATTGATAAATTCGTCATCTTTAATTCATTCTTAACTTCAATATATATATATATGAGTATTTGAAGTAACGAAGAACTTTTCTTTTTTTTTTTTTACGAAACATAAATTCTGTTTTTAGTTTAAAAAAAAAAAATTATTTAATATCTAAAATATTTATATTTGCGATTTTATCAATTTTCATTTTTTAGCATTTTTTTTTTTTAGTTTTAAATCAATCATCTTGATCATAATTAAATGATCTGATCAAATAATTAATGTTTATGAAATTAAATCTAAAAAAAAAAAAATTAAATCAATTAAATCTATTTATGAAATTAAATCTAAAAAAAAAGAATAAATCAATTAAATCTATTTATGAAATTAAATTTATTATATTTCATTGATTTTTTTTTTTTAAATTTTAGCTACTTGATGGTGGTCCAACAGGACAACCAATTCAATTTGCTATCATTGGTCAACCAATTTATCATAAATGGACCTGTGAATCAGAAACTGTTGATACATTTTGCGCAATTGTCCACTCATGCTTTGTTGATGATGGTAATGGTGATACGGTGCAAATTTTAAATGAAGAAGGCTGTGCTTTAGATAAATATTTGCTGAATAACTTAGAATATCCCACTGATCTAATGGCTGGTCAAGAAGCACATGTATATAAGTATGCTGATCGATCGCAACTTTTCTATCAATGTCAAATCACAATTACAATCAAAGAGCCAAATACTGATTGTGAACGACCGAGATGTTCCGAACCGGAAGGATTTGGTGCAGTTCAGCAGAGTAGTAGAACAAATCGTGCAACGGTGGTATCATTGGTGACACCTGCGTCACATATGAGATTATTGAAGAAGAGAGCTGCTGATTACGATAGTACAGTAGATGTCAGGACTGATATCAGTACATTGGACATTATTGATGAGGTAGTTAAGGTTTTTTTTTAATTTCATTTTGAAATTTAATTTGAATAAAATGCAAATATATCTATGATAATTAGCAAACTTTTTATTATATTCTTAATTTTATCTTTTTTTTTTTTATTTATAACTTTCATCTAATGTTTATAGTTTTTAGTTTAAGCTTCTGAATTAGAATTATTTGCTTTGACCATTCGAACATTTCCACAAAATGAATTTTAAATACTTCTTTCTACATTTAAATAACAAAAAAAAAATTTATTTCTTTGATTTAATTAGTTTGATTTAATAACATTAAAATTTTCCATTGAAATTTCGAAAGTAATTTGAAAAAAAAAAAGTACAGTATGAAACTACTTTGTAATATTTATACTAATAAGCCACCTTTTTTTTTTTTTTCATTATTAAATATCCTAGTAAAGCCAAATGAAATGATACCTTGAGTCAATTGCGCCTACTCAATAGTAACATCAAATGAAATGTAAAATTATACTATATTTTAATTTAAATATTTTATCAAAATGAATCAAAAATTTTTTTCACTTTTACTTAATTTCTTTTCTTTTCAAGGTATAAAATATGAATTACTTAAGCACAAAACTTTAAATTTAACTTAAGTTTCTAATACTTATAAGGTTAACATGTAAAGAAATTATCATTCACTCATTGTAAAATTCTTTTTTTATTGAAATGATTTAGATCAGTTCGATAACTCTTAACTTTACTTTCCTTTCCTCAGTTTATAATTTAAAAAAAAATGTTCCATGTATCAATTGATTATGCTAATATGTAAGTTTATTTCTAATATTTATAATTGATGAAATTTGCAAATTTCATTTTTAAGCAAAGTATTCTTGCAGAATACAATACTACCAGAGGATTTGCGTTATCGGACACGATTAGATGTGCATGGAAATGTTATGACTGATAAGGGTGATCGTATTGCTGTATGCTTATCACCTGTGATATTTTGTTTACTTATTTCAATTAGTGCGCTAATGATGGCTACATTCATCGTATACATTTCATATTTTCGTAAACAAAAATTATGGACATTTTTCTAGAGGAAATGTTGCATTGATAGGTACTGGTAATTCCAGGTGTATCCTTATCGGGTTAACATAACAATTGTTTTGTTTTTAATGAGAATAGTCAAAGATGATTATGCCATCCTTATCATTACTATATTTTTAAAAAAAAAAAAAAGATTACTTTGTATTTGAGGATACTGATAATGGCATTACTATCTTATCATTGTGCAATATATTATAAATGTTTTTCTTTCCTGTTTATTCATTTTGAATCGTTTTTTTTTTTTTTACCTTTATCTTCTTTCTGAATTAACAATCAATAAATTGAAATTAGCATATATTTTGAAAAGTATTAGCTAAGATTTAATAAGTTAATATTTAGTCATAAATGTATTTTCGTTGTCTTATCTTATCATATCTTATTAGTAAGATTGATTATTATCATTTTGTTTTGCAAATAGATTTGAAATGAAAATCTTTTTTTTTTTTTTTTTGCCCTCCTATACTTTCAAAAATTTCAAATTTTCATTCAGAAAAGAATGATTTCATTAATTATGGTTGTTACATGTATTTATATTAAATGTAATAAAAGATTTGGAAGAATTCATTTTGAGAACTTTTCAATTTGAAACAGAATTATGGATGGGGTCAGAGGTGACAGACGAGATGAATTGAAAAACGAAGGACTGAAAATGAAATTGTGCTGGGTCATCGATCATATCTAATCAGTTTTGACACAACAATAGACAGATCAACCAGGCAGATCGAAATAAACTTTTATTTCAAAGACTGACTACCGCTATCGCTACTACTACTACTACTACTGTTGTTGTTGTGGTTGTGGTTGTTATTAATTGGTGTTTAAATTGTAGATTGATGGGTTTTATTGTTTTCAAAATGAAATTTAAATTGAGAATGCAGATTGTTTAGATATGATTCATTGAATAGTTGTGATATGATATGATATGATATGATAGTAGTATTCAATTCATCTTTGAACTCTCTTTTTAACTCTTTTACTCTTTTTCATTTCACTTCCTAATCAAAATTTTTCTCATCGAAAATATTACTATTATCATTGACGATGGAGAAAATATATGTCAATGAATGAAAATAAACATTTTAAAACTTTCCTTTTCAATTGCTCAGCTTCCCGAAAATAAAACTGGTTTTTGAAGTTCCTAGTTGGAAAAATATGAAATGATAATGAAGAAAGTTAATGATGAAGTGATCATCAACCTTCTAATTATTTCACACACCAAACAGTTATTATTATTATTGTTGTTGTTGTTGTCCTCAAAATGAAATCAACAATTCACAACAATGCAAATGTAAATTTTGATCCACAAATATTTCATTATTATTGTTTATTTGCTAGTAAAATAAAGTAATTTAATTTTAATTTTTAAATGATTAAGAAATAAAAAAAGAATGATAAGTAAAAATAATAGCATTAAAAAAAAATGGAATGAAATGTACGAGAATCAATATAATTTAACTATATAAATTGTTTACAAAAAAAAAAAAAAAACTAAGTCTGAATTTCTATCGATAAGTTAACTTTTATAGAAAACAGTAATTTGGATAAATCATCGCATTCCTGAAAATAATATCTCTGGAATGATAACAATATTAATAATAATATTGAAAATAATAATAATGAAAATAACATCTCTGAAATGATAATAATAATAATAATATTGAAAATAATAATAATGAAAATAATATCTCTGAAATGATAATAAAAATAATATTGAAAATAATAATAATGAAAATAATATCTCTGAAATGATAATAATAATAATATTGAATAATAATAATAATAAAATAATATAATCTAAAATAATAATAATAATAATATTGAAAATAATAATAATGAAAATAATATCTCTGAAATGATAATAATAATAATAATAATAATAATAATAATAATAATAATAATAATAATAATAATAATAATAATAATAATATTGAAAATAATAATAATGAAAGTAATATCTCTAAAAATAATAATAATAATATTGAAAATAATAATAATGAAAGTAATATCTCTGAAATGACAATAATAATAATATTGAAAATAATAATAATAATAATGAAAGTAATATCACTGAAATGATAATAATATCTCCAATTTTGAGATATTCTTTATCGATTACTCACATATTCAATTTCAAATTTAGAAATTCAATTTGAAATGAGATAAAAAAAAAGTTGCCAATTTCATTCTTTGGATTTTAAACAATTTTTTTTTTCTAATTTATTGATAAAAGATAAAAGACTTTTTATCTGCTGAAAAATTATCATCGTAACAGTAAACAAAAAATTAAATCTTTGTAAACTATAAATTACTTAATGAAATATTTATTGTTTTATATTTAGTATTTCAAATATTTATTTGTCGTTAATATGAATATTAATTTTAAATACCTTAATGATATGTTTGTTTGCAAAGGATTATAATCATAAATTTTTTATTTTTTATTTAACTTTACAGCACTTTTTCAAATCAAAATATAATAATTTGGTCAAGAATTGCAAGAAAAGTAATTTACTTAGATTGTAAATTGCATAATCAAGAATTTACGTCTAAAAATATGCAAATTTCGAGAATATTTTAAATGGCTAATTTTTTTTTTTTTTTTGTTGAAATTATATCAAACTCTTTGTTTCCTAAATTTACAAAAATATTGGCCGAAAAAAAGTTAGAACTTTGAATATATCTCTTTCCAGTTGTGTTTGCATTCCGGGAATTTTCTCGAGATTTTACATAAGCTCATGTTGAATTAAAATAATAATTTATTTTAAATTAATAGGATTGAAATATATTTTTAATAATTTGATTAATAGGCTTGAAATATGACTCAAAATAAGGTTTTTTTTTTTCAAAATATATTTTTGAATGCATTTTGTTAATTGTTAAAGATTAAATTAAAATTTTAATATAAAATTTCAATAAATCATTTATAACTATGTTATCTACTTAACAAATTAATAATCTCTTATATTTTGATTAATTTTCATCAAAATCTATATTCAAATTTAAAATTATATGTTGACAGTTCTCAATTCAAAAGTAAAATTTATTATTCACAATAAAATAATATTGAGCAGTTTAAAAACAGTGGAATTTAATTGCAATAAATAGAAATAGTAATAATAATTAATTAATTACAATCAATAGAAATAATAATAATTAATTAATTATAATAAATAGAAATAATAATAAATAATTAATTACAATAAATAGAAATAATAATAATCAATTAATTACAATAGATAGAAATAATATTAACTAATTAATCACAATAAATAAAAATAATAATAATTAATTAATTACAATAAATAGAAATAATAATAATTAATTAATTACAATAAATAGAAATAATAATAATTAATTAATTACAATAAATAGATAATAATAATAATAATAATAATAATTAGTAATAGTAATGAATCAAAGCAAATTTTGGGTAAAACAATGTTTCCTTCTTGCAATAGAAAATAAAATATGCAAATTTGTGTATATACAAATGAGAAAATATCATTTTAATATTTCGAAAATTGCAAAGGAAGAAGGAATTAATTAATAAAATAAAATTAAAGCCTAAATTAAAAAATTCTGATATGAGATTTCAGTAAAGCATATACAAATAAATTGTTTATTCTACAATTCAACATTTCTTTTCTTTTCTTTTTTTTTTTTTAAATTTTAACCAATGATTTTGATTTTTGAATCAATAACTTTTCTCGGGCAAGTTTACCTGATGACAATGGAGTGTCATCTAGTGGATCCATCTCCTCGAATGGTACATTATTATCAAATTTCACATATTCTGAAATTTTCATTAATTAATTTAATTGCTTCAAAGTAATGAAAACAAACAAAAATAAATTTTTATTTTCTTTAATTTAACATATTTTTATGTAAATTTTCACAAATAGAAAGAAAATAAAATAGAAAAATGACAATTTAGATTGCTTTTAACTTTTACTTTTATCATCAAACTTATTTTTAGCAAAAATCTTTTAAGAAAAGTTAAAAAAAAAAAGATTTGTATTTGTGAAAAAAAAAAAAAGAAAATTTGGAATGGAATGAAGGAAAAAAATAAAAATTGATAAATCAAAAATTATGTGTTGCTGAAAATTAGTCATTTAAAATTTTCTTTTTTTTTTTTTTGAAAACAGTAATTTTTAATGGCAAATTTTTTGCATTCTTTAGCAACCAGTTTTTTTCAATAATTTAGCAAAAAAAGAAAGAAAAAATGTAAGGTAATGGAGGCAATAAGAAAGAAACCGGTACAATCAATTAATTTAAATTACTTAAAAATATTTTGATTTGCTGAAGATAAAACTTAGAAAAAGTCAAGACTTAAGAAAAATATATTTTTATGATCACAAAAGATCCATTTTTTTTTGTTTATTATTGTTAGAGACAATATTTTCTTCAAAAATTTTCTCTAACAATTTTATGTGAAACTACTTTAATCCGAACAAATTTATCAAAAAATAAATAAATAAATAATAGATAAATTTATTAATAAATTTATTAAATTTATTATTATTATTATAAATAAATTTATTATTATTAATTAAATTTATTATTATTATAAAAATAAATTTATTATATAAATAAATAATTAAATTTATTATTATTATTATTATTATTATATTATTATTATTATTATTATTATTATTATTATTATTATTATTATTATTATTATTATTATTATTATTATTATTATTATTATTATTATTATTATTATTATTATTATTATTATTATTATTATTATTATTATTATTATTACTGTGAAAGAAAAAAGATAAACTAACCGGACAAATCCAGGCCACCATCATTATTTGTATCAAATGAGTAAAATATAGAATGGAAATTGAAACGAGGTTTCAGGCCATATCGTTCAGCCAAGATTTTTTCCACCTCTTTGATGTCCAATTTTGAGTCTAAGTTTTCATCGAATATCTGAAATTCTTTTTTTTGTAGCACTTTAGCATAATCACAAATTAGCACATTGAACTCCTAAAATTATAATTACTATTAAATAATTTTCTCTTCTGCTATTTAACAAATATATAACTTTTCTAAAATGCTGCACTCACTTCCTTTGCATGAAATTAAATGTAACTTTAGTGTTTGCAGCATTCTCGAGATATAGTATTCTCGAATTCTTATTAATATGTTCCAAAGCATTCTTGAAAAATGAATATCTTTTCAAGTTTTTATTAAATTTATCACTTTCAACTTTGATAAATGAACCTATATTTCTTAGTTAAGGTTTCAAATCAAAACATAATTATATATAATAGTAAACTTTTTTTTTTTTTTAATAATACCATTTTACAATTACTTTTAGCTTACTTTCACATGAAGCAAAAATTGATTTTTTCTTAAAACAAATATTCTACAATTTAAATTGAAAAAAAAATTTTTTTCCTTTTTTGCATAAGCTTTCAAAAGTTTTAAAAATGATAAAAAAAAATTAAAACTTGATTAAATTAAAACTTTTATGATAAATAAAATGATATTTTAGTACTTCATAAATTTGGCTAAAATATTGCGCTTGTCGCTTATCAACTTCTTGTTGTTTCACATTCTCGTCAGCATCATATTCACTACGTGAAACAAATCCATCGTCTATAATATATTAAAATATAATAAATAAAATGAAATATATTTATGGACAATTGCGCTTTACTTTATAAAATGGAATATATTTATGGACAATTGCGCCTTACTTTATAAAATGGAATATATTTATGGACAATTGCGCCTTACTTAAAAGTATCTTTTTTCTTTTCTTATAAAAGTTTATTCCTGCTGCTAAAATAAATTTAAATGAGGTATTTCAGAGAGTAACGTTGTAAAATTGTTGTCAAAGTGAGAAATTGAAGTCTCATTAATCTTAAATCATTCTGTTCAACACTATTATATATTAAAATATAATAAATAAAATGAAATATATTTATGCACAATTGCGCCTTACTTTATAAAATGAAATATATTTATGGACAATTGCGCTTTACTTTATAGAATGAAATATATTTATGCACAATTGCGCCTTACTTTATAAAATGAAAGATATTTATGCACAATTGCGCCTTACTTTATAAAATGAAATATGTTTATGCACAATTGCACCTTACTTTATAAAATGAAATATATTTATGCACAATTGCTCCTTACTTTATAAAATGAAATATCCTTCCTTACATTTGTAACTTTTTTCATAGACAAAAAATACTTTTATAAATTTTAACATTTTGAAAAATTTCCCAAAAACTTTCAAAGAATTAACCTTAAAAGTAATGCAAATGAATAAAAAAAAAAGTAGAAAAAATTGTGTTTATTTAATCTTATTGATATTAAATTATATTTGCATTAATAATACCAACGAATTTGTATGCTACTAATTTAATTCAAATATTTAAATACTTTTAAAAAGAGAACTAACGATTCTTGTCAGTTTGTTCAAATTCAAACTTTTTCATCTTCTCATATAGCAAATCCAGATGAAGATATTCTTCAAATGATAATTTATTGTCACCATTTTGATCTGATCGCTTAAATTGTTCCACTAAATTCAAAAAATAATTAAATAAAAATAGAAATAGTTAAAAGTATCAAAAAATGAATGCAAAAATTTGATATTAAATATATATCAAAAAAATGCAAAAAATTTCATTTTTAGACGAATTTTTTTTTCTTTTTTCAATTTTAAATAAAAAATTTCAAAAAATCATAGGAAATGATTTTTTGATTTAAAAAATATTCGGTGAAAAAAAAAATATGTCTAAAATTTATATTATCAAATTAATTTTTGAAGAAAAATCTTAAATTAGTAATTGAATAGTGTAAATAATAATCCTGAAACGAACCAGCTGTTTCATACGGAAAATCCGGATTAGCACTTTCAGGAATTCTAATTGTGATTGTTCTCGAATTGATCAAATAAATGTAACAAAATAATAAATAAAATGATATGATAAGCATTCCTTTCCTTCTGAAAATGAATTGAAATTGTTCTTCTGATACGAATGTCACTGATTTCGAAGGTAATTTACAGGTATTTATTTATACAATGATTTGCCCTCACTTTCATACATTTACTAAACATTCAGGTTCTTTTACCCATCAACCACTCCCCGCTAATTGGGCGGGTTATTCTTCCAAACAAAAAAAAAAAAAAATTTAGATGGAAAAGATGGGTGGAGTATCTGAAAAAATTAATTGTTTTATTTGTTTGACCTTCACTTTGTACTAAGTCAACTATATGAGATGTACTAATTCAAATCTTTACTCGATCAGTTGAACATTTTATTTGACTGATAACAGCAATCACTGATAACTGCAATCACTGATAACGATCGATCATTGCATATTTCATTTGATTATTTATGCAATTTATAATTTTTTATAGCAAAAATTCTCGATGTTAGTGAAATTAATGGTGATCAATGTCCTCAAATATTGAAATTTACATTGATCACAACAACAGATCACAACTTTACTTATCGTTGAAAAGTAAAAAAAAATTTTATTCAGTTGAATTTTTCAAAAAAATTTTTTAAAATTAGAATAAAAAATTAATTACTAATTTGATTGTTATTTGTAAATAACTATTTCATTTGATCAAATTAATTGTCAATTTATTCATTAACCAATTCAATTTACATCAATCAGTTTTAATTACTCAAAATTTTTGCTTAGCTTTTTTTAACCAATGTTTATTTCATTTTCAATCAATTTTTGATTAAAAAAAAAAAAAAAGAAATTTGAAATTTTGTGAATTTATTTAAAATCAAAAAACAAAAAATTTTTTCAATTATTCATATTCAATTTTTTAAACAATTTATGCAAAAATTTTTTGTCAAATATATTCAAATCATTTTGTTTTTCTAAATTTGATCGAATAACAAAAAATTTTTCGTCATCAATTTTGCAAATTTTATGACAAAAAATATTCGCTAAAATGTAAACTATCAAAAAGTTTCACAAAATTTTTAAAAATTTTTGTTCGTGAAAAATATCTGTTGTAAAATTTTAAAATGATAAATACAAAAAATGTTAGTTGGAATTTTTTCGCAAATATTTCAGTCTATAAAATAACTAATTTAAATTTTAAAAAAACTGGGAGTTGAATATTTAAATTTTTCAAAAAAAAATATTTACTATCAGCCATTCAAGCCTATAATAATTAAAAATTCTCATATTTCTAAAATTTAAAATTATAGTTTCTCTCTATTTTCAAAAGCTACTTGTCAAATATAATCTAATCAACAACGCTTACAAATTGAAACAAAAAAAAAATTTATTATATTTTTTTCTATTTATAAACTTAAAAATCATTCGATAATCATTTCGAACAATTTGACAATTTAATTTATCATTTTAAAAAAATATTCAGTAAATCAAATATTTAAAATGAATGCACTTTTTATTATTGGAAATCATTAAGGTTTATTTTTTTGGAAATTCTTTTTTTTTAAGAATTAATTCTTGAAATATTTTGTTTTAATAATCACTGCTTACGACAAAAACAAAAAAAATTTTTCCATTTTTTTTCGTTTTTTTTTTTTTTTTTTTTTTTAGAAACAATAATTAATCAAAGAGATGAGAAAAACAATGAAATAAATATGATTTTTTTTTATCTGACTACATTTTATCTTTGATTTTTCTCGAGAATTAACCATGTAGGATTTATTTATCATAATTAAAATTGATTTCTTTTTATCTGACTACATTTTATCTTTGATTTTTCTCGAGAATTAACCATATAAGATTTACCTATCATGATTAAAGTTGATTTCTTTTTATCTGACAACATTTTATCTTTGATTTTTCTCGAGAATTAACCATATAGGATTTATTTATCATAATTAAAATTGATTTCTTTTTATCTGACTACATTTTACCTTTGATTTTTCTCGAGAATTAACCATAATTAAAAGTTTATTTTATCTATAATTGAAAATTTCAATGATTTCTTTATTGAATGACCTAAAATTTAACTTTTATTTCGAGAATTAATTAATATTGTTCTGAATATGATCATAAAGTTGATTTTCTTTATTTGATCTAGTTATTATAGATAAATTGCAAGGACATTAATTAAAAGTCTTTGTTGAAATTTATTAATTAAAATATATCTAATTAATTGATAATTCTAATAAAATTAATTTGAAATTTTGATTGTATTATCTTAATCTGTATGTAAATTTTTTTCTCTATTCAATTTATAAATTTATTAATTAAAATATATCTAATTAGCTAATTAATTTGATTTTGTCAATAGAAATTTTAATCTGTATGATTTTTCTTATCATAAATTATTAATTAAAATTATCTAAAATTAATTGATATTCTGATACAAATTCTATCAAAATTTTAATATGTAAATTTTTCTTTATCAAATTTATAAATTTATTAATTAAAATTTCTTTTTATCTGAATAGATTCTTAAATTTTGATTTATTATCAATAGAAATTAATCTGTATGAAATTTCTTTATTCAAATTTAAAATTTATTAATTAAATATATCTATTAATTGATAATTAGAATGCATTCTGATAAGAATTTTGTCAATTTTTAATTGTATGTATACTTATATTGAGATAAAATAGTAGCATTCTGATAAATGTAAAATGTATTATCAATGAAATTTTAATCATGTAAACTTCATTCATTTATAAATTTATTAATTAATATATCTTGATAATTAAATAAAATGATAGGCAAAATAAGAATTTTGATAAAAATTATCAAAGAAATTAATTGTATGATTCAAATTTATAAATTTATTAATTAAAATATATCTAAAATTAATTGATAATTAGCTAATAAAATGATAGCAAATTCTGATAAGAATTTTGATAAAATGTATTATCAATAGAAATTTTAATCTGTATGTAAACTTTTTTTCTTCTATTCAAATTTATAAATTTATTAATTAAAATATATCTAAAATTAATTGATAATTAGCTAATAAAATGATAGCAAATTCTGATAAGAATTTTGATAAAATTTATTATCAATAGAAATTTTAATCTGTATGTAAACTTTTTTTCTTCTATTCAAATTTATAAATTTATTAATTAAAATATATCTAAAATTAATTGATAATTAGCTAATAAAATAGTAGCAAATTCTGATAAAAATTTTGATAAAATGTATTATCAATAGTATGTAAACTTTTTTCTTCTATTCAAATTTATAAATTTATTAATTAAAATATATCTAAAATTAATTGATAATTAGCTAATAAAATAGTAGCAAATTCTGATAAGAATTTTGATAAAATGTATTATCAATAGAAATTTTAATCTGTATGTAAACTTTATTTTTTTTTCCATTTTAAAAGAATGTATCAATGATTTAAATTTAAAACGAAGTACTAAGAAGAATTCATTATTCATTAATAATTGTTCACTCAGAAATTTTCACAGACCTGTTTTATATCATTTAAATTCTTTTCTTTTCTTTTCTTTTCTTTCTTCTTTTTTTTTTTTATCTCTCATCGATATTCGTTGTAAACAAAGTAATTTATCAGTTGCATCATTCATCTCTCATTATTTTCAGGTAAATTCATACGCTACTACTTTTAGTTTAATCATAAATGTCAACAAAAAAAATAATCAATTTTTGTGGATGTTAAAAAAAAAATTTTTTTTTTGATTTTTTTTTTTTAAATTTAATTTTCTATGCAATAGTTTTTGTTTTGATATTTTCTTTAATGAAAAAAAAAAAATAATAATATTTTAACTAATGACAAAATTGCATCAGAATAGAATATGAAGAATTTAAGAAAAATTTTTTGAAGATTTTAAGAATAATTAAAGAAAATATTTCAAAGTGATTAAAAAAAAAAATTAAAATATTTGCTAACATTTAAATTAATCATTTGCAACTTTGAAAAAATAATTTTATAAGTCTTTCATTTTTATAAATAATATTATTGCATTATTTATTTTCTAATAAAATTTTTAGAATTCAAAAAAATTTAATGCTATCTTAATTGAGATATAAATGAATAGAAATTTCTAAAGCCGAAAGTATTTTGAATTTAAAAAAAAAAAAAAATTGAAAAAAAGTTGAAAAAAAATTTTTTCATGAAATTATTAATAAATTAATATAAAAGGAACAATGACTACTTTGATGATTACTTAGGTGTAATACCTCAATTTAAATGGATGATATCAAAGTTCATTTTGCACAAATTAAAAATTTAATTGGAATTTATTTATGCTGAGAATCAGTCATTCGATTATTCATTTCCAATTTGCTGTATCATTTCAAGTTTCTTCTATATTAACTTATCAAATTAACTGTAAATGATTTATTATCAAAAGTGACACTTACATTTTAATTAATAAAAAAAAAAAACATAAATTCTGCTACACAATGTTAGATATTACCTTGTGGCTTTTATATTTTAATTAATTATTAATTATTTGTGAACAGGTGGTACGATGTTAATAATTATTTATCGATTTGTGAAAATAAAAAATATATAACATTCAGAAAATAGTTATTCAGAATTAAATTAAAAGTTTAAATTAGAACTTTTGGAATTTTTGAAAAAAAAAAAACCTTTCCAATTAATTGAAAAAGAATTGAGAATTTCAAATTTGGAAATAACAAATGTTTGAAATTTTAAATTCAAATTTGGCATGTAATTATTTCAATTAAATTGCAAAATATTTCACTTTTAATGACATTAATTTCATATATATATACATATATTTATTTATATTTATCTTAATTAAAGTTAACAATTAAATTAATTTGTACTTAATTAATTAAAGTTTAGCATTTATACGTAAACAGTACGTCATTTACGATTGCTGATCTGTTTGTAATCAGCTAAAAATGGTACATACGTAATCACGTTAAATCACGTTAAATTAGTTCCGTAATCCTATAATTCACATTTTTTTTTTTTTTTTGAAAATTTTCTAACAAAAATTTCCTATTATTTGTGAGAAAAAAAAAA